TTTTAAACAATATGTTATGAAAAACAAAATATTCTGATAAAAAGCATAAAATACAGTTGTGTATTAATTTTAAATATGACAAAACAGATTACTTTTAAAAAGATACCTTAATCAACTATATGGAAGATACTATTTTTGATTTCGATCTGGCATTTTGCGTTGAAAACTTTAAATGTTGATTAACTTTTCAAATTGTTGCCACCAAATATTATCGCCCTGTATTATATTTAAAGAAATCACATAATGAAGAATCTTCATAAATGTATGTATGTTTCTCGCATTGTGATAAAACAACGGTACCTAGAGCCATTAAATTCTGAATAATGCAATCTTCCACCGAATATGGGCATCCGGAAGCCCGAATTTGAAATTTGTTTTCTTATCAGTTTCATATTTTGTAACACTTCAATTCATTTTCAATTAATAAACTGAATGACTTCAAAGCGAGCAATGGCAAAACTGCACGGAAAAAAAAAATTTTATCTCCAGCGCACGAGACTGTGTATCGGATATTCTAAAGATACGTCCATTTTAAAATTATTTTGCAATATTGCTGTTGAGTTAAATTTTATGGTTTAAGTGCAAAGAGCATTTAATAAATACAGATAACACACAAAAGGTTAAAAAAAGGTCCCTTTAATCATCATGTAAAATCTGAAAGCTTCAGATTTTTTTTTTTTTTAAATTTTTGCTTTATATATTTGATATTATTTTTTTCGCCATTCTTTTTATTATTATTACAGGTAGCATTATAGCTGTTTTATGTACTAATGTTGTATCATGTGACACTGTGAAGGTTTGGTATTGAAAGTTAAAAAACCAGACTATGACATTCAGGAAATAGAGCACTCAGACCAGCCTAATGATGCTGATGAGGCCTGCTTGCAAGAAATTGTGGAAGAAGATCAGCATGCAACCACTTGACTGCTTGCTAAGGAGTTAGTGCCCTGTCCATTAGTTGTGCTATGCATCACATAAATTTGACACAAGTTCAATTGCTGGGCTTCCCATGAGCTGACTCAAGTCTGTCCTTGAGTCTCAAGAGCAAGACTCAAGGACAGACAGGGTCTGCACTTATCCGCTGGATTATCAGCAGGAAGACAAAATTCTGAAGCGGCTCATCACTTGTGATGAAAAGTGGATTTACTTTAACAACACAGACCAAAAAGGGGATGGGTCTGAACCTGGTGACCCCATCCGCAGCATTGTAAAGTGCAATAACAAAAAAGATTAAGCTTTGTGTAGGACTGCCGTGGTATTATCCACAAAGAGTATCTGGAAAAAAAAAATAAAACCTTTGACAATAAGCTGTACAGCGAGATGCTAGTCTGTGTTGACACTGCTACCAAGGAAAAATGTTGAACTGAGTTTGAGTGCAAAAAGGTAATATTCAATTAAAATAATGCAAGACCACATGTGTCTGCAATCAGCAGATAGACTATGTATGGACTCGAATGATACCTTTTGCCACAACCAGCATATAGCCCCGACATCAGTCCTACAGACTTTTTTTCACATCTGCAGCTACTGTTTTCCATTCTGCATGGGATGTCAAAAATGAGGTTGATTTTTATTGGACTTAAGGCCATGACATTTCTGAGATAAAGGCTTTGAAAAATTGCCAAAACTTTGGCAGAAAATCATAGATTTGGGTGGTGATTTCTAACCTCACTAAAGTACAGTAGCGTAGCTAAGGTTTTCAGCGCCCGGGGACAACTGAAGATTTTGCGTCCCTTTATCTGTGCCAAGAACAGAAAATATTTCATTCTAAAATTTCCTAACTTCAATTTGGCGCCCCCTGTATGCTGCACCCGGGGACAGATGTCCCCCCTTGCCCCACCCTAGCTACGCCACTGCTAAAGTATTGGTTTCATGTTTTGTTTTACTAATACTTTTTAATGGAAAACTTTCGTTACAACCAAATATTTTTCAATAAAAAAATCATTTAAGAATTATACTACTTCCTGATATAATTCCATGGATGATGTATCAAGAAGTAGATTGTTAAGCATTTAATTAACAACAAATGGAATACAAAGTATGGAAGAATTTTTGGCATCGCGATACCTAAAATACTGAAAAGAATTTCATGAAACACTTGGGAATTTTGAAAGTGCAGAAACATGAATACTTAACATATAGGAAGCCTGACAACCAGTCAGGTAAGTTCATCAAATTATACAAAATTATAACAGTTTAAGAACAGAGACATAAAAATTTCCCAAATGCACTGTACAATGTATGTTGAATACTTTAAAATGAAAAGGATAAAATTTATATTCAAATTTAAAGTATAAAATTTATATTCAAACATGTATTATTTACAAAATTATAGTAAGGATATATCAGTTATACGCTTGGAATGAAGAAATACATACTCTGAAATTATAAGTTATGCATTCAATCTGGGAAATTTAAAAATGTATACTTATTATAATTAGAATTTAAACACACTGGCAACTTTAGAAAGAATCTCGAGGAACACAAATTTCAAAATGAAATACACAGCACAGACATCAACAGCTAATCAGATTTCATATCATTTTCAAGGCCTGATAAAGACAGTATGGAGCATGCTCTTAATGGTTACATATTTTTCTTTCCTTAACTTTTTGATTATCCACACCCCTATGAAAAGTTGCCATTTCATTGGTGAATTTCTGAATTGACGGATCATGCTTGTATAGCTTAATTTACAGCTCATATATATAATTCTGTTCATAATGCTGAAAAGAAGCATTTTATAAGAAATAAAGACACTTCAAGAGAAAATTTTTTATAACCAATACTAACACTTTTACATTCGACAGATAATATTCAGCTAAATGATGGTTTAAAATAATGTGAATAAATTTACTTGCATGCAAGTATGCTACCATGAATTTGCTATTCTTGCATTCAAATTCAAAAATATGACAAAAACATGGCAATTCTGTTAAAAAAAATTTTTTTTAATGCAAAATAAACATTTGTAGTTTTCACATACTTCTCATATGATTTTCATTTAGATAACTCTTTTCACAAGGAATAACACATCCAGCTATTATAAAAAAGTTCTCATTGGTATTTTAATATTTGGACACATTCCTGTTTCATTTTCCTTAATACTAATGAAAATACAACTCGTAATCAGAAATTCTTTTCTTATCACCATGAGCATAATTTAGTGGTGCTTTCATAATTTTCATTCAAAAGTTTTGATGGAATAAAAAACATATAAGAAGCATATGTAGCTGTTGAAATCTCTTCATGATTTCTTTGAACACTTTATCTGAAGTTAAAACTATTTTTTATCCTTCGATTTAATCTGGTATGCAATTTAGAACCTCATTATTCTTTATGTGCTTTGACAATCCACATGATTAATCCCTATAAAATAATGTTTGTGCTAGAAATGCCACTACCAAAACTGTGCTGCCCCCTCAAACTATGCCACTGTCCCTTATTATCTGAGTACAAACTGTTTGTTATTTACATACACTGTTTGGACAAAAAACTTAATTCCTAAAATTAGAAGTCCTATAGGCCTGTGGAAGACCACTACAAATGGCGAATCAATCTAATTGCCATTAGAAGTATATAAAATACTTAATATAAACACAAATAATTACAATTAAATGTAAAAAAGTAAATAATAATATTATTAAATTACATTAAATTGATGATAATGAAAAAAATTTATGATAGCATTGCAAATCTACCAGGAAGCTAATCTTATTTGGGACTCTGATTACTGCATTATTTGCGACTCTTACTTGGGACTAAGATTTTATTAAAATTAGAAGTACTTAGATCCAGGCTCCAATGGGCTAATTTAAACTCTGTTTGGGCATTTCAATTGCATTCTGTAGCTGGAAGTCAAACATCTCCTTAAAATGCAATTTTGTTTATTATATTTATAATATGGCTGACATATAAATTAAAAAAAAAAAAAAAAAAAAAAAAAAAAAAAAAAAAAAAAAAAAAAAAAAAAAAAAAAAAAAAAAAAAAAGCTGTCCTCTTAAATAGTAGTATCCTAGCAGAGTCCACACCTTTGGCACAAATGATTTTGGTTGGCGATGTGTATTAATGAGTACATGGACAAAGCCAAGGGAGTGCACAATGCCAAGTTTGTGCAATTCTCTGGTGTTTTTTAAGTGAAAATAGGTCAATGTGTACACAGATACCGAGTTTGGCAGTTCTTTGACTTATTATTTTCAAGTTTGTGATTTTGAGAAACATGTGAAGCAGTGGGTGATTTTGCACTTTCTCAGTTTGTCACCAAGGGTATGGGGCTTTCCTAGGATTTTACCAAAAAGGCTACTAACCATGATGGCATAAACATATAATAACTTTGGTGGCTATGTGGAATATACACAAAATATCAGTACGAAAGTACTGTAAAAAAACTGGAAGCAAGAAAAGATACTAGATAAGAACATTATTGTGGCATATTTTTCCCAATACTGGAATGGAACTGGGCACAGCACAGTAATGCCTCACTAATGTAACTGTAATATAAAGTTCAAAGCTTATGGCCAATGTCATATGCAAGGCCATGAATCAGTTACAATCGTTCATAAAACTCTCTATAGGTAGAGCATGAAATTGGCAACTACAAAACAGTAAAATGATTCAAATTTCATTCAAGCAATTAAAGTTTCAGGCTTTATTATTAACTGAACCAGAATGAAACCTCTCTCGGCAACCACCTCAAAAAATATCTAATATTTACAATAGAACACAGGTATTGATCATCACCTACAGTCATGCTTTCTAAGACTCTCTATCAGGCACTACAGGTACCATATCTTAAGGTGACTTCATGACATATGAAAAATACATTATAGTGTAACATATTACAATAATATTTTTCATAACTTAATTTTAATGAGTAATGATACAACAGAAGCAACAAAACAGTAACAAATAATATCGTAAAATAAATTACTATAATAAAATGCTAAAATTTTAAATAACAACAATAAAATAAAATTCTTGAAGAATAATGCACATCTGACTGCATAGCTTAGTTTTCATCTTTTATTTCTAAACTGTACACTGAAGATAAATGAATCCCAAGTAAGTATGACTATTAAATAGTCTTAAATGAATTCCAGAAGTCAAAAATATAATCATTCCATTAGTCAACAGATAATCAGGTTATTCTGTTTCTCAGTGATTAATCCCTTGTTTACTCTTAAATTGATCAGAATTTTCTGATAGCATTTGCCATCAAACTTTGCCTTATATATGGCATAAAAGTTCAATATAAAAGTATACAAAGTAAATAGTAAAAGTGAAACTTGGTATAATTTACATTTCCTAATATACAGCTTTACCTATATTCTTAAAAATATAAACAAAATTTTGGCCAAATTTAAAACAATCATATATCATTAACATTGAAAAATCAATTAAAATATATGTATTTAACAAATATTCAGCTTATTATATATACATTATTTTATTTGCTCAGTGATGCTAATTGGAATTACCATTTGAATTGTATGAAAACATTATTTTATTCACATAATTATTTAGACTTACAATCTTAAATTAAAAAAAAAGGTTATCTTTATTGTCATTTTTAACAAAGTATTAACATCATATCAAAATGCTAGCATATTTATAAATTAATTTTATCTTAATATCAACAAGTAATCTGAACTAAAAATTAGGGAGAAAATTTTTTAGTTAATTCATTACAAAAACTATAATAGCTATAATATATAAGTAGATGCATATATGAGAACAAAAAATAATAAAAATGTTACAAAGCTGATTATTAGGTAATCCAAAAAAGCTTCAATAAGAAAGTCCACAGTTCTTTCATGGCAATTTAGTGCACTTAATGATTCATCATGATTTGAAATGTTTATACAGTGCTATTTTCTCATTTATATTTTTTCCTTTGGGATTACATGATCATGATTGAATTCAGTTCGTACATACAAATAACAATTTTGAGTATAATCTGGTTTACACAGCAATTTGTTACCAATACAAATAGAGAAATAATACAACTATAAAATGTAAAAATATATAATATCCCATATGAGCTAATAATTTGGTAAAGTTGCTATATACAATTATAATAACCCTAACTTTCAAAATTCTGCTACAGAGAATTTTATTAAAAATTTATAAAATAAATCTCTTATAATAAGTAAAACAATTTTTCATTGGCATAAATGTTTATAATTTACTATATGGCCTCTTTCTTGTAGGAAATATATATTTTTATAATTTCATAAATTTTAATAAAAAGAAATTAAAATTCCTCTCCTAATACTTGATTTAGACGGTCTAGAAAAATATCCGCATGCTTGGGCTGAAATATTAAAGCAGTTCTTATTCTTAAGGTTTTAACACCACTGCCCCCACAGTGGATGCCTTGTTTATGTAACGCTTTTATAGTTTTATCCCTAGCTTCGGCATCCACAAAATCTAATGCTGCAAAAGTGCCCCTGCCACGTGCATTGAAAATTTTATTTTGATATTTCCCTTGTAATTCCTTTATACCTTTTAATAAATGAGCTCCAGTGACTTCCATATTTTTCAGGAGATTCTGCTCTTTAATTACTTTAATAACTTGCTCCAAAAGTACCATTTTAGAGGGATCTCCTAACCAAGTATTAAAAACCCGATATGGTTCTCTTGGTCGAAACTCTTCCCTGTAAAAGTAGCCACCTGTTAACATTTTTTTGCTAAAAGTTACCATATCAGGAGGAACATCTAATCCCCAATGTTCATGTGCCCAGAATTTACCCGTTGGTCCACATCCAGTCTGAACTTCATCACAAATGAATGCAACATTTTTATCTAAGCAGATTTTCCTCAGCTTGCAAAAAAAATTATCAGAAGCATGATTATCTCCTCCTTCTGCTTGTATAGGCTCCACGATCAAACCAGCTACAGGAGTGCCTTTCTTCTTGTACTCTTCGATTAACTCTTCAACATGAGCAAGAGATTTTGCATCTTCAGAATTGTTTTCTTTCTCAAATTCTTCAAGTGGATATTTATACCTGGGAAAATTAGCAATAGGCCAGTCAAAGGAAGGAACATCTAATTTGTGAATTGGTTTTGAATGAGTTGTGGCAAGAGCTCCAAATGTACGACCATGAAAACCACCCATAAATGACATAATACTTAATGGTGCACAACCAGGCTCTTTATTTATCATACAACTTTGGAGTTCCTGCTCTGTAGGAGGGTTTCCGCCACGTTCTTTATATTTATACCAAAAACATACGGCTTTAAAAGCATTCTCATTAGAGCAAGAACCACAGGCCATGGTCTGAATTTCTTTCATACCTGGTGGGGCAACTGACATAATACTGGCATGCAGCTTATCAACAAAGTCGGCAGGGGGTAAAACTCCTAACGCAGGCCGATTTACAAATGCTACCATATTAGCCGGGTTTTTCATTGCATCTAATAGAGCAGGGTGGTTATAACCCAGAGGCATGGATGATATTTGATTATATACATCCAAAAATATATTGTCATCGGCATCGCATATATAGTTGCCATAAGATTTGCTGTAATTAATGAAAAGCTGAACAGCAACAGTATTTTGAAGATTACTAAGCTCTTTCTTCAGCGACAGCGATTTGGGACCAGGAACATTTTGTGTGGTAACTTTTGGACCATCAGGTTCACTGAACACATTGCAAGAAAGGGGAGATACAAATAAATTTCTAATGCCAATCACAGATTTACATTTCGCAATGACATTCTGCTTTAAAATACCGGTTGAAGAGCATCCTGTACCACGCAACATGTAACATGCAGCCATTGCAGATGAAAACATAGAGCAGCCTCCCCTCCGAAGCATAATAAACAACTGATCATTTACTGTCTTTCGCTTTACGTTATTCCCAATGTTGCCAAACTGTGAAAATTAATTTCTGAAGAGCCGGAACTCAAAAAGCAAAATTTTAAATATCCCCAAAACATTAAAATTTAAAATACATAAATCATAACCTATAAGCTGTGACCAAAGTATCGCAACATTTATTTTAAATATATGTTTTTTGAAGGCATTACGTATCCTGTTTTATCCGAATATTAATAAGACCTTTCCCAACAACAGAGGTAAAAAAAAAAAAAAAAAAAAAACGGTGAATGCAGGAAAGAAGTTGAGCCTGGAAATTATCAACAATTGTAGCAACCGCGAGAGCTAATCAAAATGTTCACATTACAAAGCAATTCGAATATCAAAATCTCTCGCACGGGACTGCAGCAGCGATATGAGTCTGTCATATAACAGACTCAGGATCGAATCCCAATGTCATTTGTCCAAAGTTAATGATACTGTTAATACCTTCTTAAAAATCCCAGGTCCTTCGAACTTTACATTCCTCGATACGCCTAAGCTGGTTGCCGATTATATTAGCTCATTAAAGCTTAAAAAGCTCCAGGTGTTGATGGTATTTCTACCAATGCTAAAAATCTGGCGCTGAAACATCTTCCTATCAATGCCATCACTTGTCTTACTAAGATAATCAACTCTATTATAAAATTTTCTTTTTTAATGTATGGAAATATGCCATCATCGTCATCTTCCCAAAACCGCATCAAAATGCAACGTTTTCACAGAACTACCGTCCAATCAACCTTCTCAGTCAACTTTCTAAAATAGCTGAAAAAAATTATTCTATATCATCTTAATATAATTATTTCCCAGAGCTCCTACATTCCAGAAGAAAAGTTTGGCTTCCGTCATCTTCACAGTACTAATCACCAGCTGTTTTGTGCTATCGACTATATTATGGACGGTTTCAATTGTAAGTTCGCTACTGAAGCCATTTTCCTTGATATTGCGAAAGTTTTTGATAGGGTATGGCACCGGGGACTTATATGCAAACTTATCAGGTTAAACTTCCCCGATCATTGTATTAGACTTATTGCTTCCTATCTCCAAGACAGAATCTTTGCAGTGAAAATTGGCAATTCTGTTTCTACTACGAGAAATTTTTCGCTGGATTTTATTAAGTTTCTTATTATGTTAAGTTTCTTATTTATTTGAAATCTAGAAGCCAAGCATGCTGAATCTTTTTTTTTTTTTTTTCATAATTAATGAATTTTATAAGAACAGTGCATATTCTGTAGTTTACTTTCAAAAATAAGATTACTAAAAATTATTAAACTATATTTCTTAGCAGAAGTAGTATAGAATGTATACTTTTCGTAGTACAGAATAAATGGTCAACAAGTTTTCAACTTATCTGAGAGGGATATGTCCAGATCCTAGTTGATTTAACGTAACATTTTCCAGTATTGTTATCAAAAAAATTTGTACTGTATTGTATTGCAACGTATATTAGTATTGTAACAGGATAATCTCAAAACTACAGAGAATATTTTTAGGGTTTTTTTTTTTTTTTTTTTTTTTTTTCCTCCTAAAATTAATTTTGTTCCCCTCCCCAAGCCAATATGAATAATAGTGCATACAGATTTTAGCACAAAAATCACAAATAACATGATTATTTATTTTACTATAATCAATTATCATAAGAAATTAAATAACTATAATAATCACTTATTATTAGTAATTATTAAGAAATTTCTTTTTTTTTTTGTGTATAATAAATATACATACAGTAAGCTCAAACATAAAAAATGTACATAATAATTATTAATCAAAATAATTATTTCTTATCTTAAAATTATTCTAATCAATTGCAGTAACATTATTATAATTCATTGTACTAATAACATAATGAAAATTATACAATAAAATATAATAATTAAGCAATTATAATAAAAATTGCTGTACAATAACAATTAAGACCTTTTGCGTCGGTTCACTATAAATATCCGTTTCATTTTTCAATTGTTGCCACCAAATATTATCGCCCTGTATTATATTTAAAGAAATTAAGTAATGAAGAATCGAAAGGAATGTATGTACGTTTCTCGCAATGTGCAAAAACAACGGTACTTAGAGCCATCAAATTTTGAATAACGTAAACCTCCACCCGAATATGGGCACCTGGAAGCCCGAGTTTGGAATTTATTTTATTGGCTATTTCATATTTTGTAAAACCTTAACGAATTTTTGAATAACAAACACAATTTCAATGCGAGCAATAGCAATACTCCACGAAAAAAAATATTTTTCTCTCCAGCGTGCGAGACCGTCTATCGGAAATTCTAAAGATTTGCTATTTTAAAGTATTTTTAGCCCAAAGGGACATTAGCCTAAATATTCTCAAATAGTATATGTGTCTGTAAATGAGCAAAACGCCCCTTTGGGCATAATGTAAAATCTAAAACTTTCAGATTTTTTTTACCTGTTTAATATGGTGTTTTTATTTATTTATTTATTTTCTTGTTTTAACTTCAACGATTTGCATTTTGATTATGGAATCGTGTACAAAGTTCTGTGTAAAGTTTAAATAAACGATCATTTTTATCCAGAAATGGAATTTCCATTCTAAATAGAATAGAATAGAAAAATCCATTCTATATTAATTTAAATAAATTGTTCCGGTTTACTATCATTTCGGAAATAACGGCCTTCGGTTACGAATTTTTTTATATACATGTAAAGAATTTTACTGAAATTATATGTAAATTATAGTACCTCGTGCAGAATGTAATATGAAAGGCTTGAGAATGAGAAGCATCGCTGGAAAAATAAAATTGCAGGGTTAAATCTCTTTTGAATTTTGGGGAGATAGTGCCAAATTGGCGATGGTTTTGTCTATGAATTTTTTTTTTTTGGCTAAATTTGGCATTCTATCCAAATTGCTAAAAATCGCCGAGTATGGTGACTATTTAACAATATTTTGCTTTGATCCCTGTGTAACTGTAACTGTGCATGCCTTCCAGCAATTTTAAGAAATCAATGGTACTGGAAATTTCGGACATTTCTCAGCGGACGGTGGATGGGGAAAATTATACAAGTCCGGAGAGAGTATCAGCGTTTAGTTTTTAACTCAAAAAGAATACTGAAAGATTAAAGTGCGAGCTTATACTCGCTTGGGTTTTTTTTTGGGGGGGGAGTAAATGCATTGCCTTGAATTCGACGTTCTTTGAGAACAACTACAAGTATTCTTGCATAGAAAAGAAGTGGGATTGAATGCCAGGAATAACAGGGAATGCCAAGAATAAGAGCGATCTAGTAGAAACTAAGACAGCTGGATTCCAAGAAAACGTGGAAGAAGATCAAGGAAAGATGGAAAGCGGCATCAAGTTCAAGAAAAGATTGAAGCAGCTCAAGAGGAAATATAAGGCAGAATTGATAGAAATGAAAATAAAGTTGAAATCGAAGAAAGAGTTTCCGCTGTCAAACAATAAATCGATAACAGAGTTTATACTGCTGTCACCAGGGAAGTTGGTAGCTAGAAGAAATCCATAGCTTAGCAGGAATCAATTCTGAAGGCTTTCAATCCCTACCTATGTCTCCGTGACCTTATATAAAGTTATCCACGTATAATGTAAAAATTTCATGGCAAGTATACAAGACTCACTTTTTCCATAGTGGAAGACGCAAATAGATTTAATTCCGAAACAAAGGCTTAGGATCTCACAGCTTCTCTGAGAGCAGACGTAGAGAAAATCCTCTAAAGTCTGCCCGAAAACCGGAGGCTAGACTTCGAAGCTCAGTCAAGTGCATTGGAGCTGCGCTTTTACGAGAAGTATTAAAGACTACAGTAGGCTTCAGTTAAAACCTCGCCCACAGAGACAAATGAAAACAAACCAGGAATTCGTAACGGTTGTTTCCTCTTGTCTTTTCGAACTGCCCAACAGAAACAAGAGAAATCTTATCCCTGCAGCACACCGTCGATGGCATTCGGGATCCTGTGGTACATAAAGCCCTGCGAATGGCGAATTTCAAGGATCTAAAATGCTCTTTAGTGTACGCCATCAGCTCAGCAAGCAACTTATACAGACTACAGACCGCCACCCAATCAAAGATACTCATGTCCAGGAGCCAGTGAGTCAAGTGACTGTTTGCCTAGAACAGTGTTTCCAAAGTGTGGTACGCCTACCCCCAGGGGTACGGGAAGAGTTTGGTGGTGGTATGCGTTGCACCTGAGTTTAGTGAGGATATGCACTGCATCGGCTTAGCTGCGCCTAATTCTACGTTCTCATGAGTCAAGTCAAGAGAGTCTTGTGAGGCGTGAAATGGTCCAGTGTGACACGGCGGGAATATACCACATTTCGTTACAGAGACAATTTACTTCGTTAATAGTTAGTGGCTTCTCCAGGCGCCTGTGTACTTTTAGCTTTTGTGGGATTTTTCTTATAGGAAATGTTTGTTATGTGCTTTAGTAAGTCCCACTGAATTTGATTATTTTTATAAATATAATTTTTATCTTTAACATAGGTTATGGATCGCTGTTTAAAATATGGAACTACTACACCGAAAGAAAGTAATAATTATAGTAGAAATCAACTAACAGGATATAATTTCATTATATCCTGTTAGTTGAATCAACTTCAATTCTGAAAGAACCTGTTAAGAAAAAAGCAAGGAAAGCTCGCAAATACGACAAAGAATATCTTAAATTTGAGTTCTCATGGACTGGAGATAAAAATTAGTCTATTCAACCTTGCGTCCATTTGTTTTGAAAATCTAACAAGCGAAAGCGTGAAACCATCCAACTTAAAGCGCTATTTTGAGACAAACCGTAATCAGTACAAAGGTAAACCCATAGATTTTTTTTTTTTTTTTTTTCGTTTTTGTTTTTGAAAATAAACTTAAGGATTTAAATGTCTCGGAAAGTAATGCGGGGTTTGACAGGAGGTGACAATCAAAAAATACTAAAATAAATTGATTGGACTAGATGCGTTGGAATAAGCACAGATGGAGCAAAAAGTATGGTCGGAATTAATAAAGGACTCGT